AATCGGTTCAGATATAGCTATAGCTCCCATATATATTGTTCATCCGATTTGTTATTTTTGTCCTCCGCAGCGGTAATATGCGCTCTGTAACAACAATATTTGGGGAAATATATCAAATATAGCTCAGAAATACATTTGCTAAATTTTATCGAGATCGGTTCAGATTTGTATATAGCTCCCATATATATCTTTATCTGATTTCAAATTAATTTTGCACCAAATGGACAATACAAGTCCGAATTTAAAAGATACAAATGCTTCGGCATATTTAGTCCTTTGGAATTTTAATTACAATTAATTATTAATTATTAATAATTATTAATTATTATTATAATCATAGCGTGTATGATTAAATTCTTCCATAAAATCTTTTACTTGTTATGTGGAGCTCTACAAACTTAGGAAAGTGGTGTAGGGTATCATAAAGTCGGCCCTGCCCAACTTTAGGGCGTTCCTTTACTGGTTTTTACTTGTTTTTATTGCGCAGTATTTTAGATTGCGCAGTATTTTAGCCTTCCGTACCAATTGTGACCCAAATGTACATTTTAGGTAATTCAGTACCATTTATCAGGAATTTACGAAAATGTGTCCCAACTTACTTTGAAATTACACAAAAAGGTGATACAATTTTCAAGGTTCTATCCTCTCACATATATACACAATATACATCTGTACGTCCAAATTATACATACTTATGTAGGTAATACATTTTATATGAATTTTTAAAAACAATTTAGTGTAAAAATCCAATTATTTTTACAATATGAAACTGTTTGTATTTTAAACATTTATGTTGTTGCTGTTATTGGATGCGAATAGCATATATTATGTTACAAGACCATAATGCCCAAACAACTAATCCAAATTTGTTGTAAACAACCAAGTAAGTAGAGAAGAGAAGTAGACGATGAAGAGGGTTAACATCGACATTTATAATCAAATTAAGGTTTCTATTAAAAATATAAATTTTTAATGTTATCCCAAGAAGAAAACAAATTTGTGAAAAAGTTTTGTGGTTTTGATGGTAGCCAATTTTTCGGTTATATCACTCACAAACTCACACTCCCACTCACCTCTAACCACCCTTAAAAAGGGGGTAAACGAAAAGAGTTAACATTTACTGAGTGGCTAATAAACAGATTTAAAGTATTCTTTTAAGTATGAAAAGGAGATTTGTAGGCGAAGGTTTGTAAGCATGTGAAAAGTAGGGTCATTTGTGTTCGTGTGTGTTATGACGCACACATGTTGTTGTTGCTTGATGTGTTTCATGGGTAATGTGCGTGTGCGTGCGTATGTTTAATAATGTCATATCTTAATTAATATTACTCATACTTTGGGGAACCTTTAAAACATGGTATTTTTCAAGGTTAAACTTAATTGCTATTTTAGTAGTTAATTATTTTTAATTGGTTGTTTTTTTTTTTTAATAAATGCTCTTTACAGGGAGTGTAAAATGTAGGCAGCGGTTAAGAATCGTTTGTTCAAGGATTATGGGAAAATTAAGGGTAAAATGTTTTTTTTTTTGAGATTTCAAAAGCGCTGTCTGCGGAATAAAGAGTACATAAAATGAAACATGTTTCATATATTGACAATTTTGTGCCTGACAAGTCGTCCTCAAAAATCTCAAAATATTAACAACATTCCTATCGAATCGAAAAATGTCATTAAAATTTCACGATGTCTTTGAACAATGAGTAAAAAATTTACGAGATGTTTGAAATAAGGATAGTTAACCAGTAAGGAAAAATCAAAATTCGGACGGGACCGACTATATGATACCCTACAACACTGTGCATATTTAGTAGAGCTCCCGTAACAAAATAACTTATTTCAAGAAGATCATACCACCCATTAACATTTGGCTTTAGAGTAGTTATAGTTTCCTATAGAGAGCATGATATCACTTGGAGAAGGATTATATTGAAAAAATATATATCGGAGACGAGTTGCGAAAAATAGTACGTCCCGAAATTCACTCCATTTGGGCTGATATTAGCCATTATTTGCACAATAAACCTGAGATCGGCATAAGTATATTTATGGGAGGTATATCCAAATCTTAGCTGTTATCGATGAAATTTGTTTTTTGTCTTTCCGAGTTTTATAAGATATCTGGTACCAAATATCATTGTTGTCGAATGCATATTACGAAAATGAGGAACATAAAGACCAAATCGGATGAAACATATATATGGAAGCTATAGCTTTATCTTAAACAATTTTCACCTAATTCAATGTACTTGCTTCTAAACTAAATTCGGTGAGATATGCCAAAATTCAAGTCATTTGGACTGATATTGGCTATTTGGTGCACAATTAACCCAAAATTGGTTGAGTATATATATATGGGAGCTATATTCAAATCTGAACCGATCTTTATAAAATTTAAAACTCCTATTTCAGAGTTGTATCTGATATCTGGTACCAAAGGTCATTGTTGTGGAATGCATATTACTCTTGTGAGGAACTTTAAACCCCAAATCGGATAAAACATATAGCTATAGCTATGTCTGAATTGATTTTCACCAAATTTAATGTACTTGTTTCTAGACTAAATTCGGTTGGATGTGCCAAAATTCAGTCCATTTGGGCTGATATTAACCTGATATAGGATAAGTATATATATATGAGAGCTATATAGTAATCTGAACCAATCTCGATAAAATATGACAGAGGTAACTTCGAGCAGTATCTGATGTCCGGTACCAAAGATCATTCTTGTGGAGTGCATGTTTCGCAATCGAGGAACTTAAAATCCGAAATCGGATGAAACATATATATGAGAGCTATTGCTGTATCTGAACCGATTTTCGTAAATTTTATGTAATTGCTTCTAGACTGAATTCGTTGGGATGTAACAAATTCAGGTCATTAGGACTTATATTGGTAATTTGGTGCAAAATTAACCCGAAATCGGTTGAAGATATATGGGGGTTATATCTAAATCTGATCCGATTATTACCAATTTCAATAGGTTTTGTCCTTTGGCCAAACAAATATTGTTTGCAAAATTTCATTTAAATCGGATAATAAATGCGACCTGCATTTTGTTTACAAGAATACATGGACGGACGAACGGACTGACATGCATAAATCGACTCATAATCTGAACCGATCTCGATAAAATTTAACAGAGGTAATTTAGAGCAGTATCTGATGTCCGGCACCAAATATCATTCTATTGCTGTATCTGAACCGATTTTCGTAAATTTGATGTAATTGCTTCCAGTCTGAATTCGTTTGGATGTAACAAATGCAGGTCATTATGACTTATACTGGCAATTTGGTGCAAAATTAACCCGAAATCGGTTGAAGATATATGGGGAGATTTAGATATACTAAATCTTATCCGATTATCACCAATTTTAATTTCAATTGTTTGCAAAATTTCATTTAAATCTGATAATAAATGCGACCTGCATTTTGTTCACAAGAATACATAGACGAACAGACAGACGAACTGACATGCATAAATCAACTCAGAAAGTGATTCTATGAAGATCCTCAAAAGTAACTATGGGTTTATCTCGCTTTTTTCTCCAGGTTACAAACAAATGCACAAAGACATAACACCCTTACCACTATGTGGTGTAGGGTATAAGAATTCACGACATTTGGGGGTCCTCCAGAATAATTTCTAAAAAATTGGTTTCAAGAGACAATTGGAAACTGAAATCATTCACATACAAATCTTAAAATAAGTCTACAGGTTATTGAAAAAAAAAAATCCTAAAAGGTTCCCAAAAAAATTATAATAAAAAACGAAATCTGTTACATTTATTCGGTGATAATTCAAGAACTACCTATAAAAATTAGTAGAATAAGTTATCTGAAAAGTTGTAGAAAAAAGTCACGACGTTCTTGTATATTTTTGGTACAATTTTGCGAGTCTTTGAAAAAATAATTGTAAAAAGTGTTACTAACAAATAGTGATATCCTTATTTTACATTAGTAAAAATTCACAAGTTGATCGAAAAATGTCATCAAAAATGCACGGTGTCTTTGAAAAATTAGGAAAATAAATTGCGGGATATTTGTGATAAAAGATAATTAAAAATCCAAGAGGTCTTTGAAAAATTTCTAAAAAATCCAAAAAGATTTACGTAAAAAATCCACGAGTAAAAATCCAAGAGGTCCTTGAAAAATGTCTAAAAAATGCAAAAACATTTTCGTAAGAAGTTCAGATTTTGAAGATAATTGTAAATGGTATTAAATTTGGCAATTGGTGAAATTACAGAGCTGAAATCCTGAAATTTGATATTAAGGTTACTCTTGGTATCTGAGGTTGAGATATGGTCATTGTTTTGAAAATGCGTACTTTAACTGTACGGAAAGAAGTAAATGTTGCTAAATTGAAATTGAGTGAAGGGATAGAGAAGAAGTTCTGAAATTTGATATGGATGTCACTGATGGTGTCTGTAGTAGTTGAGAGAAGGAGTTGGTTTTGGAAATTCGTTCATAGTGCACGAAAAGTGCAAAATGCCAAACAATTACAGAATTACTCCATGAAAGTTATGGTAATACATTCGGAATTAAGATTTAGGATGGAGTTGGAATTCTGAAATTTTGATATGCAGGCCACTGTTGACATATAGAGGTGCTGTGATTGCTCTAAAAGTACAAAATTTAAGAGAATGAAAAGGCGTGAATTCGTTTATTTAAATTTCTCAACTTGTATTTCCCCCCCTTTCTTTTTCACGCAAGATGATCACAGTGGACCGAAAGGTCTCCAATGGAGGTAGTTACAATTTCAGTCATTTAACCTAACATAACCATTATGTGTAGAACGCTGGGCGGTATCTTAAGCACAAAAAAAAAAAAAATATTTTAAAAAATATTATCGGAGTTTAGCGTCCCAATTACTTGATTATCTTTTTAATAAAATTTAATATCAATATTTAAATTTATGTATATTTATTTATCAATATTATATTTTTTATTCACTTTTTTCCAAAATATTTTAATAAATTTTCGAATTTAAAAAAAAATTTTGAACTTACCTTAAATTCTTTACTCTCCTTGATGCGCAATTGTGCGCGAACAACATCACCATTCTTGGGACGTCCCAGCAGAGCCATTTTATCTTCTTCGGTCAACTCCTCCGGTGGCTTATTTTCAGCTTCCTGTATAAGTCCTGCCAATTCATCGTCTGGTGGTGGGGAGTTTTTTTAAATTAAAAATTTGTTTAAATAAAATATAAAATTTGTCTGAGTTCCATAGTTTTTATGGACAAAATTAAATCAAATAAAAGACCAACACCAAACGAAAAAAATGTCTCCAAGACGAAATAATAATGAGATATAGACAAATGATAAATTAAAAAAATATACATATCGAAGAGGTAAAAATAATATTAAAAATTAAAAAAATATATATGTAACACAAAAGCAACTATTTATAGGCACATTAAATTATAAATAATTTACAAAACTACTGGTGGGGGAAGGCCAAAGAAACAATAAAACATTGAAACATATAAACAAACACAAAGGCACACAGAACTACAGGCAGACACAAAGGCAGCAAAAATTGTTAAAGAATACAAACAGAAATCAAGAAGCAAAAGGATGGTACACAAACACATGCAAAGAAGTTTAGTAGTGGAAGAAAAGAAGAAGAGGTGATGCTTGTGACAGTGTTGGTGGTCGTTGTGGTGGTGGTGGTGTGCAAATTATAAAATTCGTCTTCATACAAATGGTGCATACACACATGCATGACTGATTGATTCGACCGACTGACTGACTGCCAACGACGTACACAAGTGCACATAGAAAGAAGAACGTGTTGGAAAATGTAAGCTTAAGCGTTTGCCTAAAAAGCTTTGCAGGCAGCAAATTGTAACAAGAACAGCAAATGAGTTTTCGGTGAGAGATCGAGGAAAATGCACTCACGTGCAAAATTGCTCGTAAAATATAGTGAACACAAGCACGCACTCGAACATATATCTATCTATATATCTATGTTTGTGTCTACACATAAAGAGAAAAACATTTATGACAACAAACTGTCTTTCTCCGCCATGTATGAATGAAAAACTACACACTTACACACACATAATGGAACAACACATGAACACCACACAACAGCATTGTAAGAAGAGAATGAGTAGCTTTACATATTTGATTAACTAGATAAACGTGTTGTTTTGCTGTTTTTTCATGGCTGGTTTGGTGTACGTGTACATGTGACATTATTACACACACATATATGTATACACTAAAACACTATTGTTATATGTCAAAATACTTGTTGTGTGGGTCCTTTCTTCCGGGTGCAAACTTTTTTTTTTTTGGTGACAAAAGGTTTTTCCTTCTGTTTATTTGCTGACATTGTTTTGACATAGAATACATAAATTGTATTGGTAAATTCGTGGCCCACCCATACAGTCATTTTTATGTGTGAATATGTTTTCCTCCCTCTCTCACACACACACACACACACATGTTGCTTCATCAACATAATATTTTTGTTCATAAAGTGGTGGTGTTTACTTTATTAAATATGAAATACCACATGTTTTACAAGAAGAGGACGGAAGTGTGGGATCGAGGGAGGTAGTTTGTTGTGTTTCCCATAACAAAATGTGGTCGTAAAATAGAAGACAGAGGTTTAAACAAGTTAGGAACAATTGCGTGGAAAAATGTTACTACAATCCTCAAAATACCGAATATATGGTTAAAAGCTCCCTTAAGATAGAATCGTAATAAAATTGTCATAAAATTCTACTGTAGGTCACAGAAGAATTCAAAAGTCTAAATCTTATCTAAACGCCAGGAATTCGTATATATTAAAAATACATTTAATGTTCAGTCGTACTTTGTGCGACTTTATGTAATAATCTCATGACAACATAGAAGGAACGTCTGACATTGAAGATAAATCTTTTAAAACTGTTTTTAAATTTAAAAATTCAACTATAAACCAGTAAGGAAAAGTTCAAAGACGGGCGGGGCCGACTATATGATACCCTACACCACTATGCATATTTAGTAGAGCTCCCGTAACAAAATAATTTATTTCAAGTAGATCATATCACCTATCAACATTTGGCTTTAGAGCAGTTATAGTTTGGTTTCAGAGGGAACTAATATATATGAGGCATATCCAGTTCTGAATTGACAGTGCATGATACCACTTCCAGAAGGATTATATTAAAAAAATATAAATTTGGAGCTGAGCTGCACAAAATGGAAACGACCCATTTGGGTCATATTAGCCATTATTTGTACAATAAACCTGAAATCGGATTAATGATATATATGGGAGCTATAACCTAATCTTAGCCGCTCTTGCCGTGTATTAAAGCCTTAGGCACGCAAACATTTTGGCTGCAGATCTTGGACATTCCAACAGAATTCAGCCCAACACACTCAGCACGCCATGTATTTTGGGAAGAAAGGTTGGCACTAAAAAATTCCAAAGTGTCGATCATCTTGGGACGGTTTCATTGCCCGTTTGAAGGCCATAATTCATGCTAGAGCTGACCAATTCGAACAAATCTGAACTTATTCTAAAATTTGATGCTATTTCCGACATTTTTTGCATTCATTCAATAAAATTAAAAAAAGAATGTAAAAATTATGGCGTTTGACTTTGTTGCAGTTTTTTTTTTATCTCACCCTGTATGGGAGCTATAGCTATATGAGAACCGATTTTCTCCAAATTTGATTTACTTTATTCTAGACTGAAGTCGGGATGGGATGTACCAAAATACAGGTGATTTGGGCTTATATTAGTCATTTTGTGCACAATTAAACCGAATCTAAATCTGATCCAATTATCACCAATTTCAATTTCGCCCTTAGCCAAACACATATATTTTGCAAAATTTCATCTCAATCGGATAATAAATGCGACATGCATTTTGTTCACAAAAATACATGGACGGACGGACTGACATGCATAAATCGACTCGGAAAGTGATTCTATGAAGATCCGCAAAAGTAACAATGGGTCTGGCATGGGTACTTAATTAAAATTTGTTGCATACAAAAAAGAGGAGTCTTAGAAATTGAGAGCGTGTGTCTGTAAGATTTATTTGTTTTTCTGCGTTTATTTTTGGTTTCAAATTTCAAGTAGTTGCCAAGAAAATTTCCATTAATTATATGTGAAAAAAAGCCAGAACCCTTATAAAATTTAATTAGAAATTATGAAAACTTTCCATTTTCCAATCTACTTTTTTTTAAATTAATTATGATGCTGTTTTTGCTGGGATTGGTTATATTTCATCGCAATTCCCTCTTCATTTGGTGTGTAGGAAGGCGTGTGTTCTGTTTTGCTATTTAATCAAACAGGACATTCCAACTACGGAAATCAATTACGGATAATAATAGTAATAATTTTCAAAATACAAAAACTATTATTTAAAAAAAAAAATGAGGAAATTCATCAAATCCAGAGGAAATGTACACCGGGAAGACATAACACAACCAAAAAATAAAGGAGAAAAATCACATAACAAAGGACTGTGAAGGAATGGCGGAAATAGTGATGGTCATCGAAAACCAAGAACTCTAACTAACATTTGCTTGGAGGGGTAGGTTGGAAAAAAATTAAACTAAAAATTAGAAATTTTAAAAAGGAGAATATATTTACAAAATTTAACACACACAGCCAGAACAAAATTTTACTTACAAAAATTTGTGTTTTTTTTTTTATTTTTCAAACAAAAAAATGTTTATTTTTGCCCAGGTCAGGTTATACAGAGATTGGAGTTGGCAAAATACAATTTGTTTTCAATAGTTTTTGTTTTGCAATATTTTTTTTTTGGTTTTTTATTGACAAATGTAGTAGTTGTGGTGGTAGTAGTAGTTGAGGTGGGAAAACGTTTTTTTTTTTCAACAAGAAAAGAACATTGCATAAGCCGGATATACATAGATACAGAAATTAGAAAAAATACGTTTGATTGGCGTTTCGGCATTGATTTTTTTTTGGTTCATTTTATTCGCATTTTTTAATTGAAAATGTTTAAAAATATTCGATTTCATTTCGATAAAAAAAAATACAGACATCATCAGTCAATTTTATTATTCATTGTTATTTTATTTACACACAGGTTGTTTTTTTGAGTTTTTCACAATTTTCCATTTGTTATGCACCGCCAGACGCGTTCCATTGGATTTTCGTTTTTTTTTCATAAAACATTTCACCATAGTTTTTTTTTTGTGCAAATTTTGTTTTAAATGTTTTATTTTTTTTCATGGCATTCGGCAAAAAGAGTTTTTGTTTTAGTTTTGTTTAGAAGAATATAAAAAATATAGTTTTGTTGGTGTTTTGTTAATTATTTTTTTACATATTTTAATAGAAAGAATCAATAGTTCACAGAGAGAGAAATAGTTTGATAAATAAATATAGTGTAGCAGCTAAACTACTAATGAGAAATGAGAAGAGACGTTATTAGCCAGATGGATGAAAGAATGTTAGATATTCGTGGGTTGCCCTTGAATTTTTTTTTTGGTCATCGGCTTTGTTTTTGTCAGTGGTGGAAGAAGATTATCAAGTTTCGAAATTATTTTTGAATCACAGCTGGGGTTGGCGATTTTATATAAATGTTTGAATATTTATTCTACAAGGTGATATGAAAAAACTTCAACAAATTTCAGACTGCTGTCATTTCAAAGTCACTTGTCCGACAGCTGTTAAAATTATCGCGAAAATATTCTGGAGGGTGTATTAAAGTCTTGGGCATTCAAACATTTTGGCCGCAAACCTTAGACATTCCAATAGGACTCAGCACCCAAGAATGGTTACAAAATGAGGTTTCTCACTTCATTTCCAGCTCACAGTGGCCACCAAAATCTCCGGATACCAATCCGTTGGACTATTGTGTCTGGAGTATTTTGGAAAGCAAGATTGGCAGTAAAAAATAACAAAGTGTCGGTCACCTCAAGAAACCCCTCCCGGGAGTGGGCCAAAATACCACAGAGCAACATTCGGGCAGCGTGTGACTGTTTGAATGGGCGTTTGAAGGCCATAATTCGTGCCAAAGGTGACCAATTCGAACAAATCTAAACTTATTCTAAAATTTAATGGTTTCATTCACATTTTTTGCTTTCATTTAATAAAATTTAAAAATTATGGCGTTTGACTTTGTTGCAGTTTTTTATCTCACCCTGTATATTAGTTTTTTATTTGCAAGGAATTTCAGAG